GCTTCGCCTGGCGCCATTCCCCATTCACATAATAGCCTTTATCACTCGATTAACTACGGCCGGGTTCAGCGTCCATAGATTATCATCTCACCTATACCATTATAGACAACACAGAAAGAACCGATCCTACGGAGCAATCCCAAAGAGGGGGCAAAGTAGCTGTGGTGTGGTTGGCTGTTGTGGTTGGCACGTGAAGAATTGCAGAAGCTTCTTCTTGGTGCCTTTCAACTTGGTGGGAGATACTACCTCTACCGACGGAAATCAGTCGAAAACAGTCAGGCTCCTGTCTTTCCTCAAAGAAGATTTGTTAAAGATGTGAGAAGTGCATGCCAAAACATGCTGCACATCGCTCATCCCCAAGCGCTGCGTCAGCCGATTCGTGGTGACCCTCAGGACCTGTGTGCTCGGAAGCCTATAGGTGTCCCGATAAATCTGGCCAAGATTGGAAACTGGGGAGCATAGTGATCCTCTATACGCTCCCGAGGCGTGAGCAAGCAATTATGCCCATCATTCCATTGGGGTCCAGGCGCCGCTTGGTCTCCTCTCCACTTGCTGAACACATGAACAATATGGTACTTGCTGTGGTCGCACTGAGCGAAGAGAGAATAAGCACATGCACCAGCCTGAGACCGATGCTTCATCCTGCCTTTGTACCCTGGCCTCTCTGGCTGTCATCGGCCCTGGCTCATCCATCCCTGTTTATCGTTTATATCAGGACTCGAACAGAATAAGTCTAACGCGGAGACCTGAAAGCATCAACTTCAACAGGTCTAGCTGCAATGTTAGTTGTGGAACTGGAAGAACCCAAGCTGACGGCCCAGTCACGTGTTCCCACCATCTGGTTTCTGGACTGTTACACCACACTCTGTGTTGCCCTGGACGACTGCCAACGATACCCCCTGCCTACTGACATTTGGCATGCTGACAGGTAATAAAATAGGTTACAATGCTATTTAAGATATATATACCATACATAGATAGAACATTATTTACCATAGGTATGTGTTTTTTCAAAATAAAGTCACCAGACTAAAACACATAGTTATGATAGTTATAGAGTATATGTTCTCAGGGCCACCACACACTGTTCTATATACCTGCCAGTCACGGTACCCAGGTCTGTGCAGGAGCCATTTCTTTAAAGAAAGATCTCATGGAAATGACCAAAAACTACTACCATGTAATTAGTATAACTAGAGTTACCAGTTAACTTTGCATTTTTCTGGATACACTGAAAACCTCATCATAAAGTAGAGATTTAGGTACTTTGCAGTATCTAAAGTTGGTTTGTTAATTGTCCATCAGGTTCAGCAGTGTCCTGGTGGCTCGGCCTTGTGTTGGCAACCCTCCATTTGTGGTACCTCAACATGTACCGTATCCAAAGGACCCAAGACCTGTTCATCAGGAGGCTTTATGAAGGAGCCTTTATTGAGCAGTCGCTGCTCCTCAACACCAGATTCGAAATCCAGACCAAAGACAAAATGAAGAAGTAAGTGTATGTGTAGGAATTTTCCTCCATTTTCATCCTAAAGAATCATCTAAAGCAAGATTGTTGATTCTTCAATTTTTGACTTTTTAGGCTGGTTAATTTAGGCTGTCAACACTGTTTCTTCTGCAAACTGTTTAAAAGATGTTACTCCCATTTGCAAAATCTTGTCATGTCAAGATTTAGGACATTTGAAACAGCGATGGTGTACCTGTGCGCAACCATGTGGCACGAGACCTACGATGAGATGTTGAACATCATTATCTCAATATTTAGGTGAGTTACACGAACCCATTCCTCTAATTTATCTGTGAACATAGAGACAGCTACATATAGCATGAATCAGATTCTTGCTTAAACAGCCAAGATAATTTAAGCCTTTCAATTCAGTTAAAACCAGTAGTAGAAATATTTGCTTAATTTGAGTGCAAAAACAGTGTGTAAAGGGAATTATCATCAACCAACTGGTCAGTTAACTTTGTTGCTGTCACATGATTTTATTTTCCAACAGTTTGTGTCCAGTTTAGCAGTACGCTATCCCCAAAATGCACTTTATCACAGTTCCTCTTTGTGTTTCTCTGAACACTGCAGACTGGACAAGTACAGACCGAAGAAAGACCCAAAGTTCAACGATTTCACCTTCGAAGCCCATATCTACTTTGATGATGCGTTCAAACATGTCGAGGGCAGTCAGAGGCGCCACCTCAACAACTTTGCAAAGAACCTTGTGGAAATCCTAACAGAAGTTTATGGGTAAGAATCATGTTTGTTTGTAGTTATAGGGCATTTTAGTGTTAAGTGTCCAGTTTTGACCTGACAGTAGCATTTGGCACATCACCTTCAGTAAGTACAAGCTACTATCAAAGGATTCTCTCATTTTATGTCATCAGCATCTTCACAAACATTGATGAGAAGTTCTTTAAGAAGCAGCAGCAGATCCCTGATCAGAAGGTCATAAACACACCGTACGGAGGTCGACTAGAGGTCACCATGCCTCATGGGAACAATATTGTGGTTCACTTCAAGGACAAAGAACTCATTCGGCACAAGAAGAGATGGTCTCAGGTAGGAAAATAATTACTTTTAGACCCCAGAAGATACAATTACATGTGTCACAGTTGACTTTATATTTAGAATGTGGGGTTTTCATAATGTTCTAAGACTTTTCATTTGTCTATTTTAAACTCAACAATGTTTGAACACTTGAATCCTGAGAAATATCAATTTTGTTATTTCTTATTCCCCAGGTCATGTATCTTTACTATCTTCTGGGCTGGAAACTCATGACCAAATATTATGCACGCTGGCAGAATGGAGATGACGAGATAGAGCTGAAAGCAGACCTCCAGGTGACATAAGAGAAACATATTAATGTGGATTCTTTTGATGAGCCTAAACCCATATCCACAGTATTTTGAAATAAAACCTAAATGTAAAACAAATTAAACTGTCTCTGTTTTGCCAGAGAGAGAAGCACAACACATACCTCCTGGCTTTAGATGGGGACACAGACTTCCAGCCAGCTGCTGTGATGCTGCTCATTGATCGTCTGAGAATGTACCCACGTGTTGGTGCAGCATGTGGCAGGATTCATCCCACTGGATCAGGTTGGCACATTGTCAAATTGAGTAAATGGAAAAAACAAACAAAATGCAACATTAAACAACTGTCCAATCATATGAACAGATCAATCTAAGATCCACCATTGACAGCACTGGGCAGACATTTGTGTTGAGGTTTACAATACCTGTGTGTTTGCTCTACAGGTCCTGCAGTGTGGTTCCAGAAGTTTGAGTACGCTATCAGTCACTGGCTGCAGAAGACGGCAGAGCACGTGATCGGCTGCGTGCTGTGCAGCCCCGGCTGCTTCAGTCTGTTCAGAGCAGAGGCGCTGATGGACGACAATGTCATGAAGAGATACTCCACCAAGTCCATGGAGGCGAGCCACTACATCCAGTACGACCAAGGTAACAGCAACATTAAGTCTTGGTGATAGCGCTCACAATCGGTCCCTCCGTCGTCCTCCTCTCACATATACATACATTTTCTGTTCCCTGCAGGTGAGGACCGCTGGCTGTGCACTCTGCTGTTGAAGCAGGGATGGAGAGTGGAATACAACGCAGCGTCTGATGCTTACACCAATGCCCCAGAGGACTTCAAAGAACTCTACAACCAGGTGAGTGCTGCAGTAGATCAGACCTTTTCCACTAATATTATGATGGCCTTGACATGCCCACAAAGATTTGACAAGCTGCTGTTGCTTGGAATATTCAGAATCTGCATTTCAGAACCATATTTGAATGTGGATCTTATTACTTACAAGTCATAAAGCCATATCAGTCATAATAAAGATTATTTGCCATCTTCAGCGTCGGCGATGGGGACCGTCCACAATGGCCAACGTGATAGATCTGCTGGGCTCTACCAACATTATTTCCAAGAGAAACAATTCAATGTCGAAACTCTTCATGTTGTACCAGTTGTTTGCCATCACATCAGCCATCCTGGCCCCCGCCACCATCTGCCTTTTGATTGCAGGTTAGTGTTTTGTGTTTCAGGGTATAATCTCATATACAATGTTTTGAGATCAACTGGACTTATGATTGTTCTACCAATGTTGTAACACTCAGTCCTGTGTATGTGCCTCCTCTGTTGTGATCTCCAGGTAGTTTGTCCTTCATCTTAAACATGCATGGTAGTGCTGCCCTGGTCCTGGCTGTGATACCTCCTGTCATCTACCTGGGTCTTTGCTTCAAACTCAAGGCAGATACTCAGATCACAATTGCAGCAATCTTGAGTGTCATATATGCATTCCTCATGTTGGTAGTGTCGATGTCCATTATTGGTAAGTTATATTCAAACAGGTATTACCTTATTCAGACACGTGTGTTACTTAATTTGCTCTTGGTAAACTCTTTTTAGAAGAGCTGCTCAAAGCTGCTTTAATGCTAAAAACTCTCCATGTTTATGTCTTTTTTCAGGCTCAATGGTGAAGGACAGAACCATTCTGACGCCCAGCAGCATTTTTGTCCTCTCTATGGCCATGATTTACACCATCACTGCAATAATGCATCCTCAGGAAATCCAGCTGGTGTTCCACGGCTTTCTCTACATCCTCTGCATCCCCAGCGCCTACCTCCTTCTCACCATCTACTCCATGGTCAACATGAACAACGTGTCCTGGGGCACTCGAGAGTCGAAACCTGCTGCCGGAGCTTCCAAGCCTGAAGCCAACGTAATGCAAAAAACAGCCCAAAAAGGTAGAAATCAGGCTGAAATGCTTTTATTGTCATGTCACCCGCAGTACAACACTAGACCAGTGCAGACTAAACTGAAGCTAATCTTTACCCTTGCAGCCAAAAGCACCTTCTGCCGGCTGTTTTCATGCCTCAAATGTTGCAAGAAATCCAGCCAGAGATCTGGAGAAGAGCAGGTCATTGTCAGCCAGGAAAACCCGATCCAACAGTCTGAACCCCAGCCCCAAAACACTATTGTGGAGGACATACGGATCCAAGAGAAAGAACAGAAGTAAGTTCTGATCATCAATTGAATTTCAGTATTTCAAAGTGTTTGATGATACTAATCATTTTTCTGATTGTGTTTCAGTCAAGTGCAGCCTGTTTTCAACTCTCCTGCCCAATGTAAGTCCAATCATTTTGCAAGAATAATTCCAGCGTACTTGCAAATGTGACATTATCCAATAGCCTCCTGTCTTGCTTCTTTCTCCAGGTTGGATCACACAACTACAAAATGTGTGCACTGACATGAAACTGCAGGAGGACTCACTTGACAAGGTGTGTATGTCTTGTTTTATCAGGTTAGCAGAGTGTATTCCGTGATCTTAACATGACATTGGGGCATTTGCAATAGTTATTTTTTGCCATTTTCTGCTTCACAACATGCCTTACTACTAACAATAAATACTAACCCTCATTTATGATCATTACAAATAGAACACTTGTTGTACACTTCACAAATATTGTATTATCTGTGGGGTTTACTGAGTGAACAGAGTGATGGTGAATTTTGGAATACACCACTAAAAGTATACATAATGACTTCAATGTGAAGTACATTTACAGAATAATTAATAGAAATGGTTTCCCTGCAGGAGGAGGGGGACTTCTGGAGAGAACTTCAGGACAAGTATCTACAACCTCTGCCAGATGACAAAGAAAAACAGAAAAAGATTGCCAGTGACCTGACAGACCTGAGAAACAAGGTACAGTAGGTGTAGGGAGCTGAATTATTGTTCATTGTTAGCAGGGAACCACTGCGCAGTTCATTTTAAATTAATCCGATTTTTCTAATTACACACAGATAAACTTCGCTTTCTTCATCATGAATGCCCTGTGGCTGGTGGGGACATTTACCCTCCAGCTTTTCGAGGCCTCCATCTCCATCAAGCTCCCAAAGGTCAACCTCGAACTCGAGTACACCGGAGAAGACGTACAAATTGATCCCATTGGCTTCATGTTCATTCTGGGATTTGCTATATCAGTTTTGATCCAGTTTGTTGCGATGCTGTACCACAGGTGACCACTTAACATCAAATGACTCAACAGAAATGGGCTTTTAATCATGTTAATGTATTCGTTATCCTTTTTATAAAACTAACTTCCTTGTTATTTCATGTTCATCTAGAATCTACACTTTGATACATTATGTAGCTTTTCTGGAAACAGAGCCGAAAAAGCAGAAACCTGAAAAAGAAGAATTATACGTCACTTCACACAAAAAGGTATTTACCACTATTAGTGTAGTGTAGTGTAGTGTTGTTGCTTCTTTTACTACTGCTACTATTCTACAATTACTGTCGTAACAACTTGCAATGATAATAGAACTACTGATAATAATTATTATTTGTTTATTGTTATTTATAGTGCTAAATGGCACAAAACTTTGTGTTTTAATGAAGAGATTCTGTGTAAAACAAACCATAGCAGTAATGGATAGATCAACAGTTTTTCAACTTAGGCCTTACAATCATAGCAACGCACAGTGCAATGTCACCAGTAGTAATCTTAGCAGATAAACCCACCATTCGGCAGCAAGCACAGACCAATGGAGTGATCACTTTGGCCTCCAGACTAATAAAAATTGACTTTTCAAAAAGTCTTACTGTGTGAGACAAGACATGTCTTTAAAAGAAGGCAGGAGCACTTAATAAAGTCTATGCTGTGTAACCATCATTCTATAGGGCTCCTGCCTTCTTTGCTAAAACTTGTTTTTACCTAAAAAATATATGCAAATATAGTTTGGGTTGAAAAGTAGTGAACTTGTCCTTTAAAGAGAACCTTGCTGTGTTTTGACATTCATAATCATGTCGTAGATGAGACATGAGCAATTTTCATAAAGAACAACAAGAGTAGGACCAACCTCACTCTAATTACTCATGCTAAGACGCAAATAACATTAAATTGCTCTGCAAATACTTTTCTTTAATTACTGAAACTAGCAGAGACTGGCATCAACCGCGCCCTCCTGCTACTGTGGTTAGACGTTTGGTTCAGTCACCTGCCAGAAGTGTTCCAGGTGTGGTGGGATTTATGTGCACTGATGTTCCCTCTCTCCTCCCAGATCCGCTCTGTGTCTCAAGCCAGCACCACTTCCACCTACCAGGTTGAGTCTGACCCTGAGGACAGTGATGATGATTTTAACCTTTCCACGACATTGTACCACAGAAGCAATAATGGAGGGACTATGGTGTAAACACAGACTGTCCACAACCAACACTTTTTAGCACTTTGAAATATCTACTGTACGTTTTATCTGAACAAAACAAATCTTTATTATGTGTATTATTTATGTTATGTTTACATTAGGTTCAGTGCAATTTATTTATAAAAAATCTTGCTTTGAAAAAAACTCTGGGACAGAACAACACAACCTCTAAAAACTGTCTAAAAACAAGACAGGATAATATCAGGTCAGTAACTTTAACACTGTTATCTGAAGTTAAACTCTAAATCTTAGTTTTCTTTGACTTTGCTGCTTCTGTGTTTAATGAAACTGTAATGTGAAGATGGATAAATGAAGTTTAAAAACAATATGGACAATGTGAAGAGAAATTACACTGTCGGCATCTACTGTCAGAGAAACTCATGAAGTTCTTTTAATGGTGAAGAAATCCAGTCTGAGGTTTGGTAAATCATTAACTGAATCCTAAAGATCAGGGAAGTCTAAAATCAGGGATTTTTTAAGATAAATGCCACAGAGGTTAGTGAAATACTGTACCGCACTGATCAGGACAGCACACCCCATATTATAGTTTCTGCTGTGATTGCTGGTCGTCTTTATCAAGTGTATTTGTATGCATGTGCTACAAGGTGTGCCTTTTTTAACCTTTTTTCTGGAATTGTTATCTTTAATTCACAACATATTAGAAGAAATGTGGTATGTTCTTTGTATTGCTCTTATAATCAATTGCTTGTAATAATGGTAAAAATGCTTTGATGCTGCACAAACTCCTCTTGAAGTTCTTCTCTGATGGGTAAAAAAAGAAGCTACTGGTGACATAATGCATATCATAAGAATCACATTGGCCAACAAGTATTACCAAATACTAAGTAATAATTTTTATTTACATTTATTTTTGAATAAAGGATAAAAAAAGTGACTCTATCTAAAGTAAAGTACTGTGCTACTGTCTATGCTGTGTTGTATTACTTTTGGAGTTGAGTTGTTGATGAGGTCTATGTTTTGTGTTATGTTCTTGTTTCCCAATAAAGCTTTTTCTGATAAAGTTTTTAAATGCATCTTTAGATATGAATATTTTTAGGTGACTTGGCAGTTGCACACAAAAGCAACACTCATTTCAGTAATATCACCTTGTTACATGAGACACTAGGGTTGGTGGTTGGTGCCACCCTTGTATGTCTTTTTCTTTGTGTATTGTTACATCTGTATTAATATTGAATATCAATGAACATAAACTTGGGGGAAAAAAAGTTTGCAGTTCATGCTGCATGCATCCAAAAATATAATTAAATTTAGTAGTAGAATAACATAAAACATGTATTATTACATATATACATACTATAATACACCCAGGAAATAATGCTTTTTCTGAATTTGCATTTGTGGGAATGTAAACCGCAGCAACACAATAGTGATGATAATAATACTGTGTATCTTCACATAAATAGGTTGGTTGGTTGTAAAATCTGACTATCGTCCAGAGACATGTGAAAAAAAAGCATCGGAGTTTAAGTTAGATATTCAGCTGATTTTTTATTTGTTTGGAGTTGTTGTTTTGTGATCTGCCGATTGTGTGCCTCATCCTGGTGATCTTTCAGCAGGTAGTTCCAGTTCAGAGGGACACACAAACCGCAGCTGCAAACTGCTGTATAAGCTTATTTCGTCATAATCATGTCATATTGTTTGAGATTTGTGGGAATTTCTGCTTGTCAAATGCAGGTTTACTGGCATTGTGCGTGCTGCTCACTAGCACACCTACATAGGACAGAGTCTTCACTAAAGTTACTTCTGTGTTTTTTCTGCTAAGACACATAAAATGCTTGCCAGGAAAAGCTTTTTTAGGGAAAAACAGATCACAGAAATGTAACACTCCTTAGAGCTTCCGTGTTCCACTCTGGCTTGATTGTTTTGTTAGATCCAGCATCAGCTCTGTTAACAGCACCAGCACTTCCTCTCAGGTGTCACTGGACCTGATCCAGCTCTGCCAGCATGATCTGATTAAGTTACAAGCTAGCCAAGGTGGTTCAGCCAGACAGAATTCATCATTACCTGCCTTTCACTAACAAAGACCACAACAATAAACGTATGAAATTTAGAAAGGTGTATTGCACTTAATGAATAAATGTAAACTGATGGAGGGGTGAATGAATCGGGAAAGGTTTGAGGGATGAAGGGATGAGGGATGAAGGATGAAGGATGAAGGGTTAGGGTCAAGGGATGAAGGGTTGAGGGATGAAGGGATGAGGGTCGAGGGATAAAGGGTTGAGGAATGAATACAGTGGTTCCTGTATTTGGATAAGAGACGGGGGAAAAAGGGTTCAGGAGGGAGGGATGTGGAAACTGAGTCGAGGGGGGAGTGAACGGATAAGGTGTGCTTAGGTAAGTTTTAAAAGGAAATCAAATGAGTGCAAGGTGTGGTCTTTGTTCACAAACTTAGTTATAACACTTAATTTATTCATTAGTGTCAATTTGTCATTGTCATTCATGTGGTGATGAATTATTAAAAAAATAAACATGATGTGTGCAGATTAACAACAATGTAACTTAATGCACCTAATTCAATCACTAATGAAAACCAAAATATTACCTTTGTTATTTAGTTTGGCTCATGTCCCCTTTGCTAACATGGAGCCTTTCTGACCCATTCTGCAGTCATTCACCAGATCATCCTTCTTTGTATATGTCAATGCTACTCACAAAGACAATAAATATAAATTACAGGTAGGAAGGAGGTAGGAGGTTTTCCAGTTCTGAGAATGTCTGTCTGCGGAGACCGTAAGAATCAGTGAAGCACATCACTGGTTTCGGTTGAATTGCGACTACTACAGCAGTTTGCACTTTAAGACTTTAAGGAAGTGTTTTACTCTTCAGTCATGTTGGTCTGTAAATATGCAGTGGCTGATTTCCTTGAAGTTTTTTATTTGTTGTCGGGAATTTTATTCAGTGAGAAAAACCCCTAATTAAAGAACAATGGGTTTGACCTTGTTCCATTTCCCATTACTTCAATTTAGTCGAAGGTTGATATGAGTTCAGTGTGTCTGTCTAGGTGAGCAATGCATTTACAGTAAATACAAGTGATGTTGCCATATTCATTTGTTTGATATAATTAATAATTAAAATAATTTCTGCTACTCCCCAAAACATTAATAATTGTCTCCCTTCTACCCAAAATTCAGATTCAAATCCACTTTTCTTTTGTTAAAATCAAAGTAATGGAATTATTTTCCAAGCTAGTTTCTTTCCACATACAAAAATAAATAATTATTTCTGGTTTAATATTTATACTGAAATTTTTGTTCCAGTAATTTAGTTTACAACTACAGTTACTGGGGAAAGTATATATTACTGTAATATTATTACTAGTAATGCCTTCCTGCCCAACACTGTTGACAGGTGATGAAGTCCCAGCAATCTCAAGTCACTGAAAACGTCAAATGTGTGAAACTTTTCTCAAAACACGCCATTGTGTTTCTGCTATGAAGTTTAGTTTTTTTTACAGGTGACCATTTAATGTGTGTAGGAGATTGTCCTATCGTCTCCACCTTTGCAGGAGACCTTTATTGGTTTCCATAACAACAGGCTCATCATATGGTCTGATTTCTTTCCCCC